CTTTGCTTTTCACGTGGGGGTTGCGGAAGATAGGTCCCGTTTTGAGAACCCATAGTATGGAGTAGAACTTGGGTGTATATAAGGAGGAACCCTGCTTTTGGAAGTACTCTTACCCTTGTTTTCGCATCTGTTGCTTTGTGAGTGTCATGTCAGCAGCAATGTTAGGACTCCTTTATTGTAACGATAAATGGCTATCGTTTTTCTTGTTGTCCCCACGTACCATTGGCGTTTGCTGAGTAGCATCACCATCTCAATTGCAGTCATGAGTAATGACGTGTAAGGAGTTACGGTGGCTATGCCGCACTCACCGTCTATGTCATCCCATGTACAGCTTGACCTATCCAAGAAGCAGTATGATTTCCAGAAGCAGGTGGCTGAATTTCTCCTATGTGGACAAATGCGCATTTTCTGAACATGGCAATAAACCTAAAGGACATAGGGACATATGGGGAGTTGAAGAATTCTAGGGAACCCCTCTCACGACTACCTGAAGTATAAAATTTCGATAACTTCGCACATAATTTCTGCTCAGTACTGCACATCTCTGAAAGTTGGACCCACCCCCATACACTGAAATCCCTCTTGCCCACAGACCCTGACTTGAAAGTTGTTCCAATTTGAATGCGGAGCAATGCATCCTCTAGCCCGGACCATAATATCCGAATCTAGGTTTCCCATCCACTCCGGAAGAAAGCTTTTCAGAGTGTTGATATCAAAAACAGCCGGACTCTTATGACGAAGTTGAAGACTTACACAAAAATGACATGTTCCTGAAGATTTCATGTCAGGGTATAGGGTATAGGCATAGGGTTCAGGGAACTCAGTGGCCTTCATCCATGATAACGCCGCCGGTGATGGACTGCGTGTAAAACTTATCGGCCTCCATGTAGCAAGTGTCCGAACCACAGTCGAAGGTCCTGTTCTTAGGATTGCAAGAGATAGGCCATGCAGTCGAGGCCCTTCATCTCAAGAGGAATAGGGGTTGGGTACTCCGAAATGCTCTCCCTACCAAGGCTTCAAGCAGAAGAGGCCGCTTTTCCGCACCCTCAGCCCTAATGTAAAGGCCGACACGAGTGATTATCAATATCTACTTGAGGAGTATTTGAAGCAGTTTTTACTAGAATCATACAAAGAGCCTAGGATCATAAAACTGGTTTATATTTGGGCCCCTACTTATGCAATCCTGGTTGGGAACACGTCGGTGCACGTCTGGAGGGTTGCGTAGTTCGTCTTGTCCACCTCCGCTGCACAAGATTCGAGTGGACTGCATCTCGTCTTCCTAAGAAAGTAACCCCCCAACCCTCCTAAAGACAAACATTTCTCTGTCTCATACACAATCGTAGCAAGTACGCTAGCAAATGTGCTTATTTGCCGGGGCGATTTGAGTCGTAGATCAGGCCCAAAAAAATGCAAATTCGGCTGCGTTTTGGGGATTAGGATCTAGGATCCGTGGTAGATATATAGGGAACGCTAAGCTGATCCCTCTAGCAACTAGAATACGAGGAGAAGACACACACGCACACACCGGACACACACACAACACACACACACACACACACACAGAGGACAGCATGATTCTGAAAAGTCGCCCCCATGTTCCATCATTGCTGGCTTGCTAGATCATCCAAATCTCCCGCTGAGTGCCCCAAGAAGATGTTCCCACCCGCCCAAAACTTCAGAATCTATCGTTGCCAGAAACAGCAGACCCCCTATATAATGCTTCTAAGCCGCAGGATTATGAGGTATCTCTATAATCCTGAAGAACACTAAAACCGCTGCAAGACTGCCCTTGACACAGGTACCCTCGGAGCCTCAACACGTTAGAAGGAAGACTTAGGCGACGCAAACTTGTCTCTCCGAACGATCTAGACATGTGTAAAAGGTATGAAGAGCTTGCAGTTTGATTACCTACATGGGATAGGAGTGGAGTTTTCTCAACATTCTGGGTCACCCCATGTGTATTCTGGTGAGTACATAAGAGAACTCCAACTTCGACAACCACCACTTTTTTTTGGATAGAACCCACTGCGCACTGTGGGTCTTGCGCGCCTTCCCCCAGTTCTTGCTCATGGCCGAAGACACGCAGAAGTAGTTAGTGCAGTCCATGTTCGCAGGGCAGCCGGTCACTCCAGCTGGCATGGCCGTGGCCTTGGGAGGGCCCAGGGAAAGGGCCTTGGTGACATCTTTGTTCGGGTCGACAAAGAGGTCTGTCACCGGGCTGACAATGAACCTGGGATCAGCTTCACGATCATACTGACACACTTGCATGCGTGCCTGTTTGAGCTCAAGCAAACACAAGCTCGAAAGTCTTCTGTCAAGCTGGTCTCAGAACTTCGTCGGGGATGTGAAGGTGATGTCACCGCCACCGCCACCCATGGCTGCATCTGCGATGCCCTTTGAAATGTAGAAAAGAAGGCCGCCCTCTCCGGTGATTGCGCCGAGGATGATCTGAGAAAACATAGCAAGTCATCATCTTAGTAGTAGCCAGAACTGTGGTAATTCAAATTGGTGGTTGTTGTGGTGGGTAACGGCGGCTGCTTATGAATATCGTTATTATTCCTACTATCATGATTAGTGCTGGTGCTGGTGCTGGTGCT